ATATATATATATATATATAATACAACCTTTAAAAAAAATAATAAAATCTGCACAGAATTTGGATCTCGATAATCGAAATCAGGCAGGTAAAATTCATGCACTTTATTTGAGTTTAGTTTGGTAAATATATTTGTAAGAGGTTCATTCTTGTATTTAAAAAAAAAAAAATCAGTAGGGAAAAAATTCCGTAATACATATGATTTTATTTCGTAAATAATGTCGATCACAGCTTAAAATACAAAAGATTCTACTTAGATGTTTTGTATTTAGTTGTGTCCATTGTCTTGGATTAAAATCATGGCTCGTTGGTTACGACTGAAAGTTTATGTCCTATAGTGTATAACCTTTCCATTATTTCCCGTTTATTTTTATAGATATTTAATAGTATTTATTGCTCCCCTGTCCTCTCTTTAAACATGTCGATTCATTTTAGTAAAAGACATTTCCACCGCAAGTAAGTGCAATAGGACACATATTTAACAACAGACGAAAAACTGCCGCTCCATATACTTCTGAAACAGAGTCCAGAATATAAAAGTAAAAAACAAAAAAAATTATTAGAAAATTAACAATGGTCTCAACTAATTCAAATTTTAAAAGTTATAAAAAAAAATTAATAACACTTAATGATATGTCATATAAAAATTATTGTTTACTTACATCCTCTATTTTGATTTTATTTTTTATCTTATTTTTGGTTGAGATGAGACTTGAGTTTTTCAATCCTAATTGAAACTATGATAATGATAAAACATCCGATAAGATTGAGACATATGAAAAGCAAAAAAAAAAACTGAATATTGATCTTGACGCAGAACTGATGTGATTTCATTTCACTCTTTGTATAGTCTAAAGAAAAGTGGGAAGAAAACACATGAAAAGAAGAAAAACAGGAACATGACATTGTATTGCATAAAACAAAATCAGTTTCCTAGTAAAATGTTTAGACATACATAGATACACGTCATTTGACAAGAGGAGGAAGGGTTACAATCGTTTGTCTTCCTAGGCCAAATAGTCGCTTCCATGTTTTGATTTGAGTCATAAGATGTCCATGAATGCCAAGCCTAGCCACAGATACACCTGACATAATTCTCTTCCTAAGTCTCCTTAATCTCTTCCCAATCTTCACCTTCAACTTGGATATTCTGATTCTCAAGCATGATGCCTTTCTGCGTGAATCTGCTTTCTCCAACACTTTGTGGATCAAAAACTGTGCCCTTCGATGGATTATGTCTTCAGGGTCCTCCTTATCCACCTTTGAGTAAGCGTATGGCCTCCTAGACAAAGCCATTTTTCTTCAAAATGAGTGAGAGGGAGTGAAAGAGAGAGGAAAATGAAGGTTGATGTGGCCATAGCCTTGAATGTAATATTTATAGTATAAGTTTGGCTGGTGGTGGGGCCATTCAACGATGTCATACATGGTGATGAAGCAGATCATGTGCACTAATTTTCTGATGAAAAATAATGGACATGATGAGCGTGCCTGAACTGGCCTTATATCATTTTGTCAAAATTTAACCTGTCCTCAATCCTCATATAAAGAAAGTAGAAACTGCCTTGGAAAATAGGAACTTCAACCATAATTTGATTAATTAATCATTAAGTAGTGCCACCCCAAGTGTTAATTTGCATGAATGCTGCCATTTCTTGGTTTGTTTTTTTGGCGACTAAGAAAAAATCAGCATGTAATGTATCCAAGTGCTTTTTTAAGAGGTGTTTCATTCATAAAATAACTCATTATCTTATATGGAAAGGGAAAGAGGTACTACGCGATTCTTTATTTTTAAAAATAAATGAAAAGATAAAGTATAGAGTGAATAGTTATTTATAAAGAATAAGTGGTTTAAAATTAAGAAAGATCTTTAGAAGAAAAAAAAGTTATTTAATTTTTCAAGTAAATTAAAAAATAATAAAATGGTTTGTATCAAAATAGAAATCAAAACAGTTAGGATAAGAGGTATTTCTTTATATAATGGAATGAATTACATTTGTTTTAGTCAATATTTATTTATTGTATGATTTATTAGATTTGATTTTTTTTTCTTTCTTTCTTATACCAGTTGTTGTATAAATAACAATTTTCTTTTTAATAACAACAGATAATCTCCGGCTGAGCCACTAATTTTTTTATTCTTGAGTTTGTTGTATTTGGAAAAAACGGAAGGGGAAAGTTTCTAAATTGATTTGAGCATTGTGACGTGAGATTAAAAATTTAAAACTTTTGTGTGGCAAGGAAGTAAAAGGAGTGACCATTGACGTTCTTGGGCACAGGCTTTGTTATAAAATATGAACAATAATACTAATTTAAATAATGATGCGTTGACTCCAATAATTGTCTGTAATTTATCGATATTATTTTGATTAATCTAATAATGTTGTTAATAAAAAAAAAGTATTTGATTTGAACTCAGACCAGCAAATCGATGATATTCTTAACTTTACATTATTTACGCTTGAAGATATGTAAAAACATTTTAAATTAAACTATATATGTAATGTAACCAAATAAATAATTATTTGGTCCTCATTTGCTTTGTTTGTGACATCAATTCTTACAAAGAAGAGTTCTTAAATAAATAAAAATAATTATAAAAAACTTAATATTATCTAAAAATAAAAATATGAACACAGTGCTTGTCTTCACCTACTTCCCAAAGACTTATCATGAAATTATACAAGAGATGAGAATTGACATAGCATGTTGAGTTATAGCTGATATTGTAGATGCGATGTGAATAGCATTTCTAATATCACCGACTAAGAAGCGTCAACTTGACACTAAAGAGGGTCTCTATATATTTTATAATTCTGAAATTCAATCATTCATTTAATAATAACTGCGCTATTGTTGCTTTCTTTCTTATGATAGAAGCTCTTATTAAGTCAAATGAACAACGAGACAAGCATGAACCATGCACAGTATAGAACAGACCAAATTTCCACCGGGATAAGAGGGATCTTTGAATTCCATTGCTAAATTCCTACTTTATTCAGCAACAATTCTTAAAGCAAAAACATAACTCAAAATGACTACAAATTATCGTTAATTAAGGAAAAAATTCCACATATATACAACACCTTTTTTTTCGAAGTATTTTATATCAGCTGTATACTTAGACTTAATTAGATTGGAAACTATCGGTTTGAAAGTATATCACACTAGTTGATTCAAGTTTAGTAGAATATCGTTTTCCGATTACTTCTTTTCATATTTATTGTTTAAAGTCTAGATTTTACTTCAACTATTTTAGTTTAATTTCTCTCGAATAAATGACATGTTAATGTTAATTAGTATATAAGTTGCATTTCTGAAATATGATTTTGTTTTTATGAAAAATAAATCTAGTAAATTTTTACACACACAATATCATCGTGATACATAACCACCTAAAAGGTAGAGGGGAAAATTACAATCACACTTACAAAATAGGACCATGAAGGTAATTTAAATAGAACACTACTTTAGCTTTTGTAAAGAAAATCCTAATCCCTCTTACGAAAGCTTAATTAATACACAAATCTTACATTAATTAACATCACCTTAAATATTAAAAGAGGAGTAAGCTCCGTTCGAAAATTAAGATAATAGCAAAATGTTATAGTTAAATCTATTATAGAGCATGTTAATCACTCATGTCATTATACCTTCAATACTTTAAAGATTTTTCATATATATATATATAAAGAGAAATCTATACTACATATTTTTTTAAAAAAAAAAAATTCCAAAGTGATACCACATAGCAGGCCGTACCAGAAGTCCAAAAGTTGAATAAAAAAATAAATTTGGGTTATTCATTTAATTATACATATGAGTTTATATTAAAAATAGGGGGTGCCATATAGTAATATATATGTATATAAAAAGAAATTAAAATTGTTGGGGGGGCCGTGGCACCCGTAGGTCCCCCCTTGGCTCCGTCCTTGTCTACGGTTATGATATTATTATAGAATCTGCAAATCTAAGATGGTTTATAAGAGAAAATCAAGCATCATAACTGTTGTTGAGTATAATGGTGTCGCCTCAATTATAAAATAAAAATTAAAATATATATATATATATATATAAGTAGATTAAAAAAAAAAAAAAAAAAAAACATCGATTCTCTTCATCGGAAGTTTCACATTTTAAAATTCAGTTTGGTAGCAGCCCTCAGTTTCTATAGTAACTACCATTTTCAGGTCAATTTGACACATAATATAAATAAACTATTATGCAGTATTATTTCATCATAGAATATTAATAATCATATTTAAGAATTAATAGATTACAAGTTGTGTTTTTTAGGACACCATTTAAAGAGTAGTATTGTAGCTACCACAGACATCAGAAGAAAACTGAAGGCATTTCTTGCATCACATGCTTGTATTTAGCCCCCCAACCGATAACAACTCATCTATTTTTTTTTTGTGCATTTATTGTCCTTTCACAGTTGATTCTAATGTTTTTAACATTTTTCTAGGTGATATTTGATGAATCTATGACTATGTCAATCCAATGGTTAAAAATAAGGTACAGTAACATGTTTTTCTCTTCTAATTAAAGATCTCGTTGATAGTGATTTTTTTTTAATAAGCCTAATTTTATAGGTATTCAAGGAAAATGACAGTTACTTACTTACTTCTTTTTAAGGCTTTTAACCTACGATGTAAGTTTTTATTTATTTATTAATTTCCGGTCTACGGTTATTATTATTATTATCTCTTTTTTTTTTTATATCAATTTTATATCGATCATAAAAACAAATTGGAAATGAAGCGTTTCTATGAAGAAAAAATAATAATAAACAAACAGGAGTCAATATATGAAGATGTAAGCAGTGAGTTGACTATATTGGTCTCTATACGTGCACGTTTATATCATAAATTTGAATACTTAATTTTAAACAAGATTTTTTAAATAAATTATATTTGTTTTTTCATTAGGTCCCGTAACTTCTTAAGTATTAAATATTTCCTTTAATATATTTCTCAGACATTATTGATTAAATTTAGTTAATCTAATTTTGATTTTAGATACAAGAATTTTGAATCATAACATATCATATTAAAATATATTTATTCAATATATCATATGAAGTTAAAGGTATTATATTTTTAAGTAAATATCAATTTAAATTTATCTTTAAAATTTTAAATTTATCACCATGTAGTAGAGATATAGAGACTTGCTTTAATTTAAATTATTTATTTTCTTATTTTTCTCTCCAAAAATTTCAAAAGTATTATAACATCTCTCATTATATGTTATACTACTTCAATATGCATTATTTAGTAATAATGATACGTATATATTTCTTATTTTAATTTTAAAGTACCTGTTTCCCGAAAAAAAAAAAGTACGCATACTAAGAAAAGAAACTCATTAATTTTAGGTTACATTTGACAAAACTAACTCATAAATTAGTTAAAAACTAAATATAAGTTAGGAGTTGAAAATTAAAAGTTTAATTTATTCGCTTAGAAGTGTTTCGCGACATTATTTTAAAACAAATAATAATATTTTTAAAAAATTTAAATTGTTACCAACTTTTGTTTAGCGAAAAAGAGTTTTTAAATTAAGAAAATGTAAAAAATATATTTTAAATAAATTTGTGTAGATAAAAGTAGAAGATGAAAAAAAAAAGTTCTAGTAACTTGTATGTCATAAGTTAGTTGAAATAGTTTTTAAAATTAAGTTATAAATCATATTAAAATAAGCTTTTGTATTAAACAAATTATATTAAATTGATCGAGGGTATGGATGACAAATATACCCGTACCAGCGGGTAATATCCGAACCCGTCCCGACTTTGACGGGGAATACCCGGTTTGATCGGGCACGGGTACAGGTACGAGTAAAACCCGATATATTAAATCGGGTACGGGTACGGGTACGTGTATGTACTTACCCGCCCCGTACCCGTACCCGTACCCGTCCCCGTTCACATTTTTAATTTAATACTCACTTTCAATTTAATTATATTAAAGAATTTTAATATTTTTT